CACTACACACGCTTCGTATGCGGGAAGTACAAACATATGTCACTACACACGCTTCGTATGCGGGAAGTACAAACATATGTCACTACACACGCTTCGTATGCGGGAAGTACAAACATATGTCACTACACACGCTTCGTATGCAGGAAGTCGAGGATTCAATTCTGTCTGTAACCAATTTGAGGTCATACATCGTAGGCGAAGCACCAATTTATCCCCGAGTGGGGTAATGTTTTATAATCTCTGTTATCTAACTACTTAACATGCGGGACTGTAAATTCGAGGGTCTATGGTTCGTGTCCCATTGCTACAAAATCGCGCCCCTTATTTGGGACTGTGAGTATGCTATAATGATGACAGTCCCACTATTTGATTGGAGGAACCCAAGAGTTGGCGGTGGGTGCTAATCTATCAGTTGAAAATTAAAAACGCCAGGAATTATGTATCTTTGAGCGAAAATCTTAAACAACAATAACACGAATCTATCTACTAGGGATTGGAGCTTTCAGCTGGACATGGCTTATGGTTTGACTGGAGCTTTCAGCTGGACATGGCTTATGGTTTGACTGCAGCTTTCAGCTGGACAATCCTTATAGTTTGACTGCAGCTTTCAGCTGGACATGGCTTATGGTTTGACTGGAGCTTTCAGCTGGACATGGCTTATGGTTTGACTAGAGCTTTCAGCTGGACATGGGTTATGGTTTGACTGGAGCTTTCAGCTGGACATGGCTTATGGTTTGACTGGAGCTTTCAGCTGGACATGGCTTATGGTTTGACTAGAGCTTTCAGTTGGACATGGCTTATGGTTTGACTGGAGCTTTCAGCTGGACATGGCTTATGGTTTGACTGGAGCTTTCAGCTGGACATGGCTTATGGTTTGACTGCAGCTTTCAGCTGGACATGGCTTATGGTTTGACTGCAGCTTTCAGCTGAACATGGCTTATTGTTTGCTATTTAACGCAACATTTTTATCTGTCTGTGTTAGGATGTCAGTATATTATTGTTAAACTCTTATTTTTACAACAATATATGTTTCAATAGCTCGATGTGTATTTCTATAGGTGAGACAACTCGGGCCTTAGCCACTGCAAAAGCAGCAGTTATGTTAGGAGACAGCCAATCAAAGACTTTGTTTCAAGATGTTGTAGATAAAATAGCTGAAACATACAATACTGGGTATGTATTATGATGAGCTAATTTTTTGAGATAATCTTAATTTGTATAAATGTCGTTTATCTTATATTCCACGTATTTCTCCTAGAGAGTTTTATATATGTATAATGGGATTGTCAGATATGCACGAATGTTTCATCTAAATTTCACACGAGAGTTATGATTTAAATATTTATAAAGCGCAAGTGTTAAATTTAGTATTTTTAGAAGCGAAATTTTATCGCAGATTTGCATACGTGACTGTTTACGAATCATTTGTTGTGTAGTTCAATTGTTGTGAATTGACGTCACATTACTAGAACCTTCTGAATTTTTCTCGTTGCTTTAAGTGAGTATTGTTACATCATAACATCTCGTAGTTTGTAGAAAGTTCAAGGCGTCAGTCGGGCAATATATATATATAGGCGAAAAAGTTAAGTTACGTTAGTGAAAGTAAAAGTGAAGTTGGGATGTGTGTGAGTTTAGCCATAACGGGCGATTTCTAAAATGAGTTTCACAGCTTGTATTGAACAACGAGTAGAGGAGAAAAATTTGTCTTATCAAAGGGTGTTCTAAAGTAATTGAACCCACCTCTGTGGACTTTGACGAAAAAGAAGCAATTATTTACAGTTTTGGATATAACTGTGATCACAAGTAATGTAAATAATTTTTGTACATACGTTTGACTTATTTTAATATATTATTGGATTGTGTGTTGTTCCTTTATTGTTGACATTTATCACCAACAAGTCACAGACACCTACTGTAAAGAATCCGGCCCCTATTTAAACCTGACATAGACGATCTGTTGCTGCTAAACATTTTCTTTAATTATTAAAATTAAATTGTGTGAAAACAGATAAAATGTAATTTAAAATAAGAGATATTGAAAAGTTTACGAACAGGTTCATGATATATTTAGTTAAAACATGTATTAATGAGAGTCATTAGACTCCCTTTTTTATGTGTATTTTTACTTATTATGCTTTTAAATGTTCAAGAAAATATTAGATAATAACGAACTTGGTATTTTTCAGGTTAAAAATATGTCATCAGAACTATCATGAAATATTTACTTTTCACCTGAATGTATTTAATAATACTAATGTTTCAGAAAAAAATGTCATTAATCTATGTAATTCTTGTGTCTGTTACGGAAATCACGTGTGTGCGTATGCTTATTTAGATAGTAAGGTGCACGCGCATTATCATGACAGACAAAAACTGAGTATTATTATAATACACCCGCAAACCATTTGCGCTCAGATTAGTGTCTTTATTACAACAGTACTTCTTTAAATACAGGAATAATACAAAATAATTCTAATCGTAGAAACCGAAATATTGTCATACTTTAATTCTGCTGTCCATACGCCTTATTAGCACGCGCAGTAAAACTTTTACCCAGAAAAAAACAGTGCAAGCACCTGCCTGCGCCAGAGAGCTCGAAAGCTCAACCAACAAGTCGCTATAACTGCTCTATGAACAAAGGAACAACAAAAAAGGTGGATGTAAATATTCTTTATTAACCTTTTAGTACAATAACGTTAAAAGCTTGAAGTTTTCCAAAAGGTCTGACAGTAGGTCCTAGAATAACATTATTAGTTTATTTATCGATAGCATTAAGTACAGTATAGTTTAGTCCTAACTAAGCTAATGTAAAAAAACGTACACGATACAGTGTTAATTTATCTCTTTATCGAACTTAGGCCTAACATTAATTAAGGTTTTATAAAGTACGACCTAAACACAATCGGTGTCTACGATTAAATTTCGTTTCTGTTATTCTACAAATCTTGTATTTAAAGAAATAATGCTCAGTAGATATACTAATTTGACAGCAAACGTTTTGCGGGTCTCTACTAGTATATTATAAATCAGAAAATAACAAACACTTTAATTTATGGCTTATGTTCTTAAGTACAGAGTGGCACATTTTATAAAACTATAAATTCTAAAAGAGCTTTGTATTTGTTTATGTTTAAATTTAGACTAACAGCCGATATCACAAACACAGCCATTGCTGATGAAGCACTTGAGTTTATACACTTGTCGCTTATAACGCTAGAGGACACCACCATCAGATCTGACACTTTACTAAACCTTGTAGAATTAAGCAGAAAAATCTCGGAAAGTTTGACTGGATCATTAACTTCAAGCTGTGAGTTTGAATAATATTTTTTTTAAAGTACGAATTATTTATAAGTATTCGATTGATTTTATTTGTAATCAATGCATCTTCTTTGTGATTAAATATCAATTAATAATCATAACAATGATACATAAATATGAAATAAACTAAACTTTTATTAATAAGTTAATCTAAAATCCAAATTTAACAGCAAGTTTTACTTAATTTCGAATTTTGTTTTATTCAGAAAATATAAAACTATGTTTAATATTAAGTCATCAGTGCAAACTTTTGGAGCAGACAGTGTACAATTTCCAAACAAAATTAGGCCCGGCATGGCCAGGTGGTTAGGGCGCTCGACTCGCAATCTGAGGGTCACGGGTTCGAATCCCCGTCCCACCAAACATGCTCGCCCTTTCAGCCGTGGGGGCGTTATAATGTGACGGTCAATCCCACTATTCGTTGGTAAAAGAGTAGCCCAAAAGTTGGCGGTGGGTGGTGATGACTAGCTGCCTTCCCTCTAGTCTGACACTGCTAAATTAGGGACGGCTATCGCAGATAGCCCTCGTGTAGCTTTGCGCGAAATTCAGAAACAAACAAACCAAACAAAATTCTAATATTCAGAAATTAACTTTTATGTAGACATTAAATGTTTTGTTTGTATATTTGTTTCTCACGATATTTTTTGATGTGTAATTTCGCAAAATTTCTTTCAAATCAAAATATTTTACAAAGTAAAGTAGTATACTTACTTTTTTTCTTGTTGTTGGGATAGAACTATTTTACAAAGCCTAAGTAAAGTAGTACACTTACTTTTCTTCTTGTTGCTGGGATAGAACTATTTTACAAAGCCTAAGTAAAGTAGTATACTTACTTTCTTCTTGTTGTTGTTGTTGGGATAGAACTATTTTACAAAGCCTAAGTAAAGTAGTACACTTACTTTTATTCTTGTTGTTGGGATAGAACTATTTTACAAAGCCTAAGTAAAGTAGTACACTTACTTTTCTTGTTGTTGTTGGGATAGAACTATTTTACAAAGCCTAAGTAAAGTAGTATACTTACTTTTCTTCTTCTTGTTGGGATAGAACTATTTTACAAAGCCTAAGTAAAAAGCAGTATACTTACTTTTCTTCTTGTTGTTGGGATAGAACTATTTTACAAAGCCTAAGTAAAGTAGTACACTTACTTTTCTTCTTCTTGTTGGGATAGAACTATTTTACAAAGCCTAAGTAAAGTAGTATACTTACTTTTCTTCTTGTTATTGGGATAGAACTATTTTACAAAGCCTAAGTAAAGTAGTATACTT